ACCCACAAAAATACACCCCAAAACTTTGCAAGAGTAGGGGAACTCATCCTATGCTATTTCTTTTTTCCAACTCTTGACTCCTCTACAAAATCATCCTGCTTTTTTTTTTAAGTTAATTTATTAATTTTGAATCTCTGAGAGAGCACGAGCAAGGGAGAGGCAGAGAGAGAGAGAGACAGAGAAGCCCAAGCAAGCTCTGTCCGTACACAGCACATGGAGCCCAACGCGTGGCTCAAACCCAGGAGCTGTGAGATCATGACCTGAGCAGAAATCAAGAGCTGGATGCTTAACGGACTGAGCCACCCAAGCACCCTCATTCTGCTTTGTATATTCCATACAGTCGCTTGGTAGTTTCCCCAACTTCTCTCCCCATGCCTCCAATACATGGCCCCCCACCCTCCTCCCCAGAGCAGCTTCTCAAACTCAAGCAGTCCTTCTTCAGAGGCTAAGGTCTTCACAATGATACCAAATGATATTCCTATAGGCAGAGAGGGAGCTAATCAGCAATTTATCAGACTTTATTAAGAATACTTGGGGCGCCTGGGTGGCTCAGTCGGTTAAGCAAGCATCCGACTCTAGCTCAGGTCATGATCTCACGGTTCATGGGTTCGAGCCCTGCATTGCGCTCTGTGCTGACAGCTCAGAGCCTGGAGCCTTTTTCAGATTCTGTGTGTGTCTCTCTCTCTCTCTGCCCCTCCCCAGCTTGGGCTCTGTCTCTCTCTGTCTCAAAAATAAATAAACATTAAAAGAAAAGAATACTTGATATTCCTCAATTAAGTGTGATATAGGAGAATAACAATGTAGAAAAGGAAGATTAAAAACTGGAAATCATATATTATTGCTCCTAGAGCCCACTAGTCACCCTTTCCTTTGGAATTCCCTGCTGGCCCTTTGTCTCCAGAGCCCCATCATATTGCTGTGTTATTGAAGCTAGGTTCTCTCTTTTCTTCAGAAACCTCGTAATTATACCCCATCCCTGATACAAGAATGATACACTACAGTATACCAGTTGTTAAAATAGTGAGATCCTTCTGTACAGATCTGGTAAATAGCCAAATAAGTGGACAGATAGTTGCTGCCCTGACCTCCCCCTGATCCCTCCCACTCCTCCAGCCTTCTCCACGGAGCCCCTGAGCCCCACTACTATCCAGCAACTGAAGACTTACACAGTTATCCAGGGAAGCCTCTGGAACTCAGCTCCAGAACTGTGGCCTGTGACTCCATACTATTTAGTAGGTGCTCTGTTCTATCAGTTGTTGAATATCTTAAATATCACCCTATATGCTACCAATGAATACAGTAGTGGCCCCTTATCCACAGGGGATACTTTCCAAGACCCCCGGTGAAGCCTAAAGCTGCAAATAGTACTGAAGCTTATGTATATACTATGTTTTTTCTATACATACATACCTAGGATAAAGTTTATTTTGTAAATTAGGCACAGTAAGACATTAACAACAATAATTAATAATAAAATAGAATAACTATACCAACATACTATAATCCGAGCTATGTGCTTTCTCCCTCAAAATATCTTACTGTACCTTATTCACTCTTCTTCTTATGATGGTGAGATGATAAAATGCCTACGTGATGAGATGAAGTGAGATGAATTACATAGGCGTTGTGACGTAGCGGTTAGGCTACTCTTGGCCTTCTGATAATGTCAGAATTCGTCATCTGCCTCCTGACCACAGCTGACCATGGGTAACCGAAATGGAGGAAAGCAAAACCACATATAAAATGGGGACTCCTGTAATCATTTAATCATAGATGAATAGAATATTTAACTTTTCAGTCTAAAACTTTGATATTACACTTTAAAATCAGGATTTCCTCCAAAATAGTGAGTAATTATGAGTCCAACATCTATATGAACAAAAAATTGTCCAAAGGGCCTTTTCCAAGAAAATAGACCAGGCTTTTTCCAAAGACACATTGGTGCTTCTACTCCAGATAGGAGAAACTGATGTCGAAAAAAAGAATTATTCTGCTGTGCTTACCTAGTTACTTGTTACCATTTTATACTTGTCATGCCTTGTCTGTCTAACATAAATTACATATTGTATTACTCTATCACTCTCAGCACAGTGCTGCCCACACAGCAGTAGGTGTCTGATAAGTACTTGCTGAACAAAATTTTTACATTTTCCCAGAAAAATCCATCAAGAGGACACTAACTACCTAAGTCAAAGGCATTTGAAGACTAAATTGATGGGGGCTTGAAAATCAATTTCACAAGGTCAGGACGCATCTGGCTTGCTTGCAAGAAAGAATGAAGCAGGACACACGTGCTGCCATCTTATAAACAAATATAAATTTGAATATGACAATCTGAACTTAATGAGGAAGACAAAAGGCCCTGGCAGAGATAGATCTGTTTGAGAGATATGTTTCCCACGTACTTGCCATGATTCTTCTACAAAGAAATAAGGACAAACAAAATAAAAAGGTTATGGAATTTTTAACATATATTCCAGTAATTAAATTGAAGGCCTTTCAAGAAGGGTCAAAGCCAAATTTTACCCTTCAGGATGAATTCAACAGTGAGATCTAAAAGACACACACACACACACACACACACACACACACACTTCAAAATACTATGAAATGCCTGAATACCCAAATGTCCATCAGTAGTAGAATAATTGCATAAGTTTTATACCTCTTTAGTATGGGATTTTCTGAAACTATGAGAATGATGTGAATGTATGTGTGTACTGACATGGAAGGAAGTACTTAAGTTACTGCTAGGTGAAAAAAACAAATTGCTGAATAATATAGCATAAATGTGTTTTGATGTAAGTTCTCATATCGTGGTAGGCTGGAGCTGACTCTTACTGGTGCCTGAGAGCCAATTGCTACATTTTCAGGAATTTGATAAGCTGGTTGTTAAGCAGTGGATAGCTTAAAAGCAGCCACAATGAGTGTATTTGCACCAAAGAAATCCATGCCTTACAAAAAAGGACTTTCGCCCCTGCTCAAAAATATGCAAATACAAGTTTGTATAAGCTTATCCAATTATCCAAGCTTATATATACCAAACTGAGTTGTTGAATTTATACATACTGATGTTGCAATCTTAAAAATTAAATTTAAAAAAACACAGTAATCTTACAAAAAGTGAATATTACCATCCTATAAATAAATCCATTGAAAAGTATAACATCTTCTAGTGACTATGCTCACTATTTTGAAAAAGTCTAAAACAGTTTAAGCAATGATGTTTTAAGGGCTAAGGCATGTATTTGTTAATCTTAATATATTTCAGATCTGTTTAATACTAAAGCTTAAATCACCTTACAGGTTCAAAGTCACTTCATACAGGTTTAAAAACTGGCTCAAATATTTATAACATTGATAACAGAAAATGGATACTAGCCATATAAATATATCTTTATGAGGATAATACTCTATGAGGCACATTCCTAGATTTAGATTTAGCATCAAAGGCTGTATCAATCATACTCCCATCAGTAATGTATGGAGAGCACCACACCAGTATCTGATATTATGAATATTAAAAAATATTTTAACCATCTGATAAGCAAAATGTGTCCACAGAAAAATAAAAAAGGATTTCTGTATTTCAGTTGACATTTCCCTGATTATAATTAGTTTAGCTTTTAAAAATATATTTATCAACTATTTGTATTTTATTTTTTGTGAACAATCTACTTAGCTAGGCACAGTCTTTGATAATTTTTAATTGGATTATGTTTTTGTTAACTGTTGGAGTTCTTTAACTATCATGTCAGTTAACTTCTTATCTGTCAAGAATGCTACAATTTTTAAAAAGGTGGCGTGCGCCTGGCGGGCTCAGAGCTTAAGCATCCAATTCTTTATTTTGGTTCAGGTCATGATCTCACAGTTCTTGAGATCGAGCCCACTTGGGGTTCTCTCTCTCTCTCTGCCTCTTGCTGACTCGTGTGAGCTCTCTTTCTCTCTCTCCAAAAATAAATAAACATTGAAAAAAAAAGTTACAAACATTTTTAAAATATCAATTGCTTATCTTTTAAATAGTTGGAGTTGTTTTATAGTTTTCTTTTTTTTTTTTTTTTGTATTCAGATATTTCTGTCTCTTCCCCTATGGCTTCTGGATTTGGGATTACGCTTAAGAAGGCCTTTCCTAAGCTAAAATTAAAAAACAAAAAGAAAAACAACACCTACTTTGTTCTAGTCTTTGTAGTGTGTGTGTGTGCGTGTGTGTGTGTGTGTGTGTGAATGTGACTTAGGGATTTCATCCATCTGGAAGTTATTTTCATGACTACATAGAGTAGAAATTAATTGAACTAATGTATCATTACAAGTCGTTACCCACTGATTTTTAAATTCCACATTTATTCTAACATATATACATTTCACATGGATTCCTGAATTTTAGTATTTTATTGAGGAAAACTTCAGAGTAGTTATAATTCACTTTTTCATAAGAGTAAACTAAGCCCTTCAAGTGGTGTTTAATTATTATTCTATAATTACTATACAGTTAGAACAGAGAATATTTGGTCATTTATGCTATATAAAATTACTTGGCACTATAGGTATTGAGAAGTCTCATTTGATAATATAAAAATCTTTCTAGAATTAACTTGGGTTCTTGATGCTGAAGCAAACTGTCCATAAAATGTGCATCTAGGGGCACCTGGATGGCTCAATCGGTTAAGCATCCAACTTTGGCTCGGGTCATGATCTCATGGTTTGTGGGTTCGAGCTCCACATCGGACTCTGCTAACAGCTCAGAGCCTGGAGCCTGTTTCAGATTCTGTGTCTCCCTCTCTCTCTGACCCTCCCCTGCTCATGCTGTCTCTCTCTCAGAAATGAATAAAACATTTTTAAATGTGCATCTAGTTTAGTATAAGTCTGTAAGTCCATTTTTGAGGTTTAATCTAAATTATGCCATTAAAAAACTATTTTGAAAAAGAAGTTTCTCAATGTAGCATTTCAAAGCTCAATGCACAGTTGAAATAAAACCATGCCTTTTTTTTTTTTTTTTGTAGCAAGATCTTGCCTGTGACAGTGTGTTTGCCAACATGGCCCCCAAAAAGAAGACTGTAAAAAAGAACAAAGGAGATATCAATGAGTTGACCATAATCGTAGAAGATAGCCCCCTAAACAAATTAAATGCTTTGAATGGGCTCCTAGAGGGAGGCAATGGACTTACGTGCATTTCTTCTGAGCTATCAGACGCTTCTTATGGCCCCAACCTCTTAGAAGGCTTAAGCAGAATGAGGCAGGAGAACTTCCTTTGCGACTTAGTCATTGGCACCAAAACCAAATCTTTTGATGTTCACAAGTCAGTGATGGCTTCATGCAGTGAATACTTTTACAACATCCTAAAAAAAGACCCATCTACCCAAAGGGTGGATCTCAATGATGTCTCACCACTGGGCCTGGCTACTGTGATCGCATATGCCTACACTGGAAAGCTGACTCTCTCCTTGTATACAATAGGAAGCATTGTTTCTGCTGCTGTTTATCTTCAGATCCACACCCTTGTAAAGATGTGCAGTGATTTTCTGATACGGGAGATGAGTGTTGAGAATTGCATGTACGTTGCTAACATTGCTGAAACATACTCTTTGAAAAATGCAAAAGCAGCAACCCAGAAATTTATCCGGGATAACTTCCTTGAATTTGCAGAATCAGATCAGTTTTTGAAACTTACGTTTGAGCAAATTAATGAACTTCTCATAGATGATGACTTACAGTTGCCTTCTGAAATAGTAGCATTCCAGATTGCAATGAAATGGTTAGAATTTGACCAAAAGAGAGTGAAATATGCTGCAGATCTTTTGAGCAATATTCGCTTTGGTACCATCTCTGCACAAGACCTGGTCAATTATGTTCAGTCTGTACCAAGAATGATGCAAGATGCTGACTGTCACAAACTTCTTGTAGATGCTATGAACTACCACCTACTTCCATATCATCAAAACACATTGCAGTCTAGGCGTACGAGAATCCGCGGGGGCTGTCGAGTCCTTGTCACTGTTGGGGGACGTCCAGGCCTCACTGAGAAATCCCTTAGTAGAGACATCTTGTACAGAGACCCTGAAAATGGATGGAGCAAGCTTACAGAAATGCCAGCCAAGAGTTTTAATCAGTGTGTGGCTGTGATGGACGGATTTCTTTATGTGGCCGGTGGCGAAGACCAGAATGATGCGAGAAATCAAGCCAAGCATGCAGTCAGCAATTTCTGCAGGTATTTGATCTTGATTAGGAACTGAAATGGTCTAATCTTATAAGACAAGAAGTAAATTAGTCATGTCTGTTCAGTTAGTTCATTGGCTCAGTAAATCAATAATGATAATCCCACATTACATGCACATAACAGTTCACGTTGCATAAAGTACGTGCATATATAGATAGTGCACCCCAGATTTCTGAATAAGCCTATGAGATGAGCTGGGAAGATGTGGTTATTCTGGTTGTACATGTGAGAAATCTGATACCCAGAGAAGTTACACCACTACTAAGTAGTAATTCACATTTTCTCATTTATAGTAAAGTGCCCTTCCTAATACACTGTTTTTCTAAAAAGAAACTGAGTACAAACATAGTTTTTAACACTAGGTGGTAAGAAAGATCACAATAACACGAAATTTCTTTTAAGTGACTGTACTGATGACTGTCAGATTTATAATTAGCAGGTACAATGAGATCATTAAAAATGTGACAGGCAATTAATTCTAAATATTTATATGAACGGTGAATACCTTAGAAATTTTCTACATTTTTGATGCATGTAGAAATAGTAAAAGTATAATAGAGCCTTCAGAAAATGGTATTCAAACGCCATGTTATTTTTGTATATTTATAATAAAAGCAACTTCCATATATTTGAAATGTCAGAAAGTCATGCTTATATCATGATACAAGTACAAAGTCAAACAACTAATTAATGAGCAAGATCTGAAAATTTATACAGCATATCATGAAAAATAGTCTTTATTATTTCATTATAAGTCTGTGCGTCATTTAAATGAATCCAAACAATTAACGGATTTTTGTCCTTTATAAGTGGTTACGCTTTGATTTGGAGGTTAAATGGGACAAAAATGAAGGAATATCAAACTAATGGAGAGAGTCTGTGTTTACAATACTTTGGAACTATGTAAATAGTTGAAATAGGTTTTCTATGACTGCTTATTTTCCTCCTGCTGATAATTCTTGCTAGTATTCCAGTCACTGCTTTTGCAGTATTGATTTCAATGCCTATGGTATAATAACTATAATATAGAACACTGTAAAAATATACCTCTAACCTAAAAAAAAAAAAACTTCTCTGTGCAGAGGTGCTAGAAAATAGAGAGGTATCAAAAGTTAAACCCCTGTTGATGCTTTTGGATATGAGTTCCATTGATCTCATTCTAAACAGATGAAGGAAGACTTGGTGGAGTGCCTTAGCTTTACTGTTGCAGTGGCCAGGACAGGTGTATGAATGAGAAGGTGTTGGTGAGAGATGGAGAATTCCAAGTAGCCAACTCCTATCTTAAGCAGTGAGAATGAGCGAGGGATGGTTGGTGTCTGAAGGTATGTGGAAGTGACGTTAATGTGGCCGTGTTCCCTTTCTGCTTGCCACAAATAGCCAGTTTCCACCGCCTCCCCCACATGCACGTCTCATAAATCCTCCCCATGGTGGATATTTATGGAGGAAGAGGGACTGGAAGGTTGGTCTCTGTGGGGACTTCTCCAAGTGGCAGCGGAGTTTTATAAACGGGTGTAGGAGGAGTCACCAATGCCCGGCCTTTTCCAAGTGTCACGCTCTCTTACTGGCTGAGAGAGGAACACCAGCCTCCAGGTGCGGGTAGGAAAGCCTCCTTGCAGGAACAGTGTCAACATTTCCACGCTGTGCTTTGTGGAGTCCCGTGGGTTCCCCGGCCGCCGCCAACAAGGCTGTCACACTTCCTCTGCCATTTTCAGATACGACCCCCGCTTCAACACCTGGATCCACCTGGCCAGCATGAACCAGAAGCGCACGCACTTCAGCCTGAGCGTGTTCAACGGGCTCCTTTACGCCGTGGGCGGCCGCAGTCCCGAAGGCAGCCTGGCCTCGCTGGAGTGCTACGTGCCCTCCACCAATCAGTGGCAGCTGAAGGCGCCCCTGGAGGTGGCGCGCTGCTGCCACGCCAGCGCGGTCGTGGACGGCCGGGTGCTGGTGACCGGCGGCTACATCGGCAGCGCGTACTCGCGCTCCGTGTGCGCGTACGACCCCACCGGCGACTGCTGGCAGGAGCTGCCGGGCCTGAGCACGCCGCGGGGCTGGCACTGCGCGGTCACGCTGGGCGACAGGGTGTACGTGATGGGGGGCAGCCAGCTGGGGGCGCGCGGCGAGCGCGTGGACGTGCTGACCGTGGAGTGCTACAGCCCCGCCGCCGGCCAGTGGAGCTACGCGGCGCCGCTGCTGGTGGGCGTGAGCACGGCGGGCGCCTCGGCGCTGCACGGCCGCGCCTACCTGGTGGGGGGCTGGAACGAGGGCGAGAAGAAGTACAAGAAGTGCATCCAGTGCTTCAGCCCGGAGCTCAACGAGTGGACGGAGGACGACGAGCTGCCCGAGGCCACCGTGGGCGTGTCCTGCTGCACCCTCTCGATGCCCAACAGCGTGACCCGGGAATCCCGAGCCAGCTCGGTGTCCTCCGTGCCAGTCAGTATCTGAACCCAGGTAGATGCGGGAAGAACAAATAGGCATTCGTGGGCAAACTCTGAGTTAGCGGAAAGGAAAATATATAACCCTTACTACAATGATTGTCTCTTCGGCCATACCGAGGCATAGGTCTTGGTGGTTTTAAATTCTGGGTATGTCTTAATCTACCTCGGTGTCTTTTTTTTTTTTTTTTTTTTTTTTTTTTTGTGAGCAACAAAGAGAAACCACTTCTTTCAGCCACTGGGTGGCAGCAGAATTCGTTGCAGGCACTCTTCCACCCCCCGTTTTCCCTTCATGAGTAGCGGTTGCACCCACATCTCAGAATTTTCTTTTACACTTTAGTACGTGGGAAGCTTATGCGAGTAAGCAATTTCAAGTACAAAAGTTTATCGTCCTCTCTCTTCTTTTCCTTTAGGGAGTTAAAAGAATTCATTTATAGTTTTTATTTTCAAATGGAAATCCATCCATATCCATAAAGACTTAATTCTGTGTTTAAGTGCCGTTTCTTTTTCTACACAACACTGAGTAAAGAATATTGAAAGGCATCTCAGGACAAAGTCATAAAGCTTAGGACAAAGTTTGACTGGAAAGTAACAGGGGTTCCTCCCTGGGACCCTCACATTGATACCTCACATTGGTTTATCCCTTGTTCTCTTCTTCCTCTGTGCCTCAGTCGCCAGGGTATTTGCAATCAAGAAAACACTGCTCTCAAAGAAGAGAACTACTAATCGTTTAGTTGATGGTGTAAATTTAGATCATTTTGTTGCTTCTCCTAGAAGTATTTGTGCTGTAACCTTTGTCCCCTATTAAAGAAACTGCAAGTATCATGGGAGCCTTACTCTGACTCTAAAAAATACACAGCGATGCAACCTTAACCCTCATGTAAGCCCCAAGAAGAACACCAAATAAAACTATGGCTGTAAAAATCGTTAACTTAAAGCTTATGGAACTCGAAGGTTATACAACTGGTAACAGTAATGTGATTTCCCCCATTTTTTTTTATATGGATGAGAATGAAGGGAATGTTTGGAATTCTTGGGTTTGGCAGTAACAGGATGAATGGCTTCTCCTGGTGGTAAATGTCATTGTTTGCCGTTTCATAGTAGCCTTCCTGATTCCATAATTAAAAATCTAACACATTCATCTCACATGGAAATATCAAAACAATATATGCCCATTCCGTTATATATGTTTTCACTTCATCTGCCCCAAATTAGTTTTGCAAATTAAAATGTATCCACTTGATATCATTTTTCTTACATGTTTGCCAAGTTTTGGAGCAAGAGAATGATTGTAGTAAATGATACATATTTTCCTTTCTTATAATTTATCACTTTATTCTTTGATAGTTTATTTGTTTGGGAGAAGTGGCCTATCAGTTATGGGTTATGTGCAATGGGGTTTTGAAAAATAAAACTATTTAAATGGTTAAACATGAGATTCACGGAAATGTAACTGGATTCTCATTAATCCCATTTCTCCTACCTTGTGTAGATAGGTTATTGCTAGAGTTACAATATTTATTTTTAAAATATTTTATTTGAACTGTGAAAAGTGGTTCATATAGTACACTTTGTGGAACAATTTTATATCACTGCCCCTTATGAAAAGTTCAGTCTCTGTGTATTTAATGGTAACACTTGAGTAAAGCCTACAACATTGTAAGTTGAGAACAGACATTGTTAATGTAAAAACACTGGGCTGTTTCCTCACCCCACACAGAACATTTGGAGCTTCTCCACCACATATGGAGCAGATCTAAAGATACCTGCTCCCTTGACTCCTTCTCTGTCTAGGCTGGAAAGTATAACTGTATGAGAAACTAGTTTATGGAACAAGTTAAATCACTGAGCCCCTTAAGTTACCATTGTACAAACCACAGATAACCCTTGTCCTTGAAGCATCATTGGGGAAAAAAACTTTTCATTTTTAATAAACTATTTTGGCCACAACCCACAAAGCCTGTGTGAGGGTGACTATAACATCTTTTAGTTTGGTATAAATATATGTTCTTGTACAGTTGAGATGCCTATAGTATATTATATATTTTAAGAGAAAAAAGTGATTTATTATGGATTACAGGTCGTAAGTGGGCAAATAGACATAATTCCTGATGTTCACTAGTAGTATCTCCCATTGAGATGCTGGAAGTTCAGTGTAGTGGAGGGCCTGAGGCTTGGGGTTAAATGAGAATCAATCAGTTGTAACATTTTGTCTTGGAAAAACAAGGAGAGATTGACGCCAGAGGATTTTTCAGTGATCCGAGCTTGATGAGAGCTTGTGCACAGATGTGAAAGTGGCTTTCTAGAGATGAGACTGGAGACATGTTAGAGCTGGGTAAATCATTTGAAATTACCACGTAATGTATTTTCTACCTTGTTTATCTGAAGACAGAAAAATCCACGTGTCTGGGCGTACCAGGTTCTGGGGACATTGCTGCTCTCTCTTCTGTTTCAACAGTTAGGTCCATAAATAAAGAACAGTATACACTTAGGATCCTGGAATTTCTGACATAACAAATTGGTAGGGAGCATGGAACATTGAGTGTTGGTGAAAGTGTTGTGTCCCGAAACATCCCTCGCTGACAACCAAAAGACACGAAAGTGTATAGAATCAAAATAATGTGCATCACTTTTCACGCGCAAGCGGAATGTACTCTCTAACCCCACCATTGAAGCAGTTGCCCCTAGAACCACGCCAGTGTCTTCATGTTTCCCAACTGGAAAAGTACTTCATTTTTCATGTGTTTAAAGCTTACATTCAATTACACTCCCGGTCTCAGGTTCTAACTCTATACCTCCCTTTATTTTTCTGAAAGAAAAGGACGTGTTATTTTTGTAATGCCAATGTCCTGTGGTTAAATGAAAGCATCAGTTCAGTCTATCAGAGCAATAGCAAGTTACCCAGCAGCTGAAATAATAAGCTTTCTTTTCCTGAACAGGCCAGAGACCTGATGTGCGAGTCTCAAGGAAGCAAGACTCTAATGTAGTCTGTCCATTGTTAGTGCGTGTCGTTCCTGATGCACTAGTTACTTTTAGTGGCCTTGAATGAGCTTTGTGTTTACTTCCTCTATTGTAAGACTGGTTATGAATAGAAGGTCAGTAATGGTACAGATTAATATAATTCTAAACAATAATTAGATAGGAGCGTGGTGTTACAAGTGAAAGGGTATAATTGAGGTAAGAAGGAAGTGAAAATGTACTGAAAGATTCTACGGTTGAAGGCAGAGCAGCAATTATAGTAAGTGTAATTTACAAATATGCATGTAACTAGAGGCTTCCCTGGAAATATGTAAGTGTTAAAAGGTCAGTTTTTCACTGGTTATCTTGGCCAAATGCCTTCAGAATTTATCAAAGATATTAGATAAAAGAAACTAAAATCATTTCACTTAATTTTTTCCCTGAGTTACAAAGAAATAAGTTTATGTAATCTTCTCTGAATGGTTCTTCTGAATTCTTTTCTGAGTGAATGTTCTCTGGATGCACTATATCCCCATTCCAGCCGCGGATGAATATGTTCTCTAGCACAAGGCAGCATTATGAGGAATTATTTTTCAGTATGTCTCTTCATACCAGTAAACACTGTAGCAAAATTTCCTAAACGCTCCCTCCCACGTTTTTTTCTTTATGAGAACTAAAGAACCTAAAATATTAAAGATTTACCTCCAGCACATTCAGAAGGTTAAAGCCATTTAAATTTCCTTCCCAGAGAATTTGAGATAAAATACTTGTCTTGGATACTCCTTTAAAAACAACTTTATATTCATTCAGCAAATTCTGGCCAAAAAAAAAAAAAAAAATTCTTCTTAAAACATTCTGGTACAATATAAGAAATAGCAAACTAAAATGTATGTGGTGTCTGTAACCTCATCACTACCAATAAAGCTGCATTCAGTAAGAGCTTAGTCAGTGATCCATCTGGACAGTTTTGTAGTGTCCTTTGTGTGATGACTGGGGTGTTTGGTTTTTTTGTCTAGTTTTCATGGTGATTCACTTCAGCAAAAACACAACAAGAAAAGAAATGACAAAGAATCAAAGAGCTGTTTCAATTGTTTGAAGACTGGTCAAGGAAAAATGTATTTTTATACATTGATAGTGATTTGCTGTGTAGCTCAGACAAAAGCCTGTGTTTGGTCTACCTCAGCCCTGACCACTTGGAAGTCATAGATAAAGGGGTTTCTAGGCTCGTCCCCACCCTGACCACAGCCGACCTGGCACGCACGCTAGTTCATCATTATTTGCGATGAAACTGCATGTTAGGAAATGAAACTGTATGTTGTGCCAATGAACCCTCACAGCCTGACTTCCACCTCACCTTCCAAATGAGCAAATGAAATGTAATCAACAAAAGACACTCAGTCTTTGAGATGATTTAGTTGTTAAAGAATAACACTCAGTTGAGGCTATTAGTCATTTCTAGAAAATTCTAAATGGCAGCAATGGCTTTTTCATAAACTCCTCCAACCTTTGCAACCATGAAAAGAGACTAGAATGGCCCCCAAACAGAAGCAAGTTGGTGCCACATTCCCAGTTTTGAGCTGCAGGCAGATGCCCCAGAGTTTCCTTTTCTTTGAACTCCCACATTTATAACTCCAAGCTTCCTCATAGGTCTGCACTCCCTCCCGCATCCACATAGTAGTCCATTTATCCAATTCGTAGCACACGTGAAATTATTTAATGACACTAATGACACCTAAGGCACTCCAGTATGTATCAAAGGAATAACTATATTGCACACACTGCATTTGGCAAATTTGATATGAAGACTAGAGACAGAAAGATATTCAAACCCACCTCGAGACTTTTTCCTCATTGGAGTCATAGGGGAAGTGCGTTAGGAAGTCCATTTTAGGAAAGGGCCTTGAAGGAGGGAGGGAATCCAACCCACGCCCTCTAGAAACACTCTACTTGGCCCCTCTTTTCCTTGCTAGTCACATTCACAAGATGGGCTATAAACGTAGGTGTAGGATGCATTATTCCTTATGCCAGTGCCAACCTTGCACTCAGTTTCAGAACAGACATGATCCTTAGAGAATCCTGAGGCAGGGAGGTACTTTTCCCCAACCTTTGGGCAAATACGATGGTCTCTGGTTAGCTAACGATCCTATATGGCTTCTTTTCTTATCCCTTTCAGAGAAGCACCTTTTAAAGTCAGTCTTACTCATCCTGGAGAAATTACTGTTCAGATTTTGCCTTGATATT